AAATTAACAATGTCTTCCAATTGAACTTGTACTGATAAGGTGATTAAACAACTGGCTAACCAATGGAGGATGATGGTAGATAGTGAGAAACAGAAATACAGAGAAATGTCTATATATGCGAAGAGTGTATATGATTGTGTGAAAGATAATTCTGGGGAAATGACAGTACAGGTAAATATATAATGTTGATGTTAATTTTTATGTGCATGGTTTACATTTATTGCACCTCTCCAACTGACTTTTCTGTCTATTTTTTAATGAATTATCAAAGGGGACGCTTGGTACAAGGTGTTCGCCTGGGAAAATTGTAAAAATGATACAAATGTTATGTGATGAGCATAAAGCTGCCATAAAAGAACTTGGTTTTGGGGGGATATTGAGTCTTAGATGTGGGTAACTGAAGCGGGGTTTATATGCATGGTTGATTGAACGATTTGACACTGTGTCATTGACATTAAATGTCTACGGTGAAGCTATTCAGTTATCAGCCATGGATGTAGAATGTGTCATGGGTTTGAGAAACGAAAGGTTGGACGTGGAGACTACTGGGCCCAGTGAAAGAATTCATGACATTCGGAATTCATTGTTCAATGTAGTTAAGGATATCCCGTTGAGACAAGTGAATGAGAGACTTTGTGCACTTAAAGTGGCTTCGGATGAATTTATGATATATTTTGTCCTATTTCTTATTGGACATCTTCTATACCTAACCATGCGTACTTCAATCAGCAGTGGGTATCTTCAGACTGTCGTAGACATTCCTTCTATAGGAAAAAGAAATTGGGCGAAATTTGTATTTGATGGTATTGTAACGCCCCAAAAACCCCTGTGGGTGACATTACATTCTAAAAACCATTTACCGTATGAGAGCATTAAGTAAAATTCATCACGACGAAAGTTTTATTTATCAACCATTCATATTTTAACAAAATTTGGGCAGAGTCTCCTTTGTACGGGGAGCTCTACCCAAAACACAACCTGTACAATTATATTACAATTGACCACACCGGGTCCACATATGCATAACTATTGACCACACTGGGTCCATTTTTCCATCATAAAATAAACTTGCATTCATCATATGTCATATCCACACTATCATCCCAAATTAATAGGTCTAATCTTGGCCTTTACATCTCCAAAATGTAATAATATAACGCAGCGAAAATAACAGAAATGAACTAGAGTTCAAAAGGATATTCTAAGCATAATCTAGTCTAGAACAAAATAAAAGTGTCCCTCTAAGCGTCCACCTCGGGATCCACATCCCCGTCAAGCGGAGTCTTCCAATGGGTGGGCTCCTCGGCTCCTAACTCCTCCTCAAGTGTGAAATCTGAAAAATTTTATTTGTAGGGGGTGAGCACGAAGCTCTGTAGCAAAATCCTCTCAACTCAAACAAGGTTTGAAAAACATAGCAAACGGTCGGTCTCATTTCACAACTAACATATATATAGGTTTGGAATGAAAACAGTGACATTTTAAAAGAGATCTCAAGTTTAAACAATAGCAATAATCAGTTAAAAGAATAAAGTGAGTTTAGCATCGATAAACAAAATTCTAATTTAAGCTATTTAAGAAGGGCTTCTCCCTAAGCATTGTCCCATACCAATGCATCGGCAAAAACGACCCAACTCCCGATTCCATGTATTTTTGGTTCATCCCCGTACCATGTATGTTGATTGCTTCTCGTGAATCTACCTAACGATCATGCCTAGTCCACCAATTCCAACCAACAATCACAAATCTCTTTAGGAAGGGCGTGTACCGTCTCCTACGGCATTGACGAAATCCTCCCAAGGTGTCTAGTATACTAACCCTTTTCCTCGGTGTATATGTGAACAATAGTGATCGCGAGCACAACAACGATCCACTACGAGCATTAGGCAACCATCTCACCCCCCATTGGGATAGACTAACCTCTAACACTCTACGGCATCTCTCGAAAGTAATCCAAGTCCATCACAACAACCATACAATGAGGAAATCAAGAATATTCACAATTCACAACAATTTCCCAAATATAGTAAAATCCCCAATTTTGTTTTCACATTTGTCATATAATCGAATAATCCAAGAAAATATGCAAGAGATCGTAATCTATATCATTTTGTTATACAATATTCAACACTAAAGTTTTAAAATCAAAGACAAAGAAGAAATTAGGAGAAAATCCCCTTTTCTTGAAAACTAGGGCTTTGAAGATAAAAAAAAAATCAATAGAGCTTTGGTGGTTACCCACCCTTCATATTGTTCAAAACATGACATTTATTACAAATAGAACAAGAATCACGTATTTCATATTATATATATGAGAAGGAGAGTGAAGAAACATATATCTATATACATATATATATCTATATATATATATCTAGCCTCAATGTGAGAGATTGAGAGAAAATCCCCTACCTTAAATCAAGATTCCAAGCTAAGACCCAAGCTTCAAGACCTTCTTGCTCTCCTTTCTTTTCCTCTTAATCTTCTCCTCCTAGGGTTTCAAAAGATTTGGGTGAGAGGGTAGCAAGAATGGAAGAAAATGGGAGGAGAATGTATTCTTGAAGAATTTGAAGTTTTGATTTCTACATGGTATAAATCCCTCTTGATTGGTATTTCTATCTTCCTCTCTTCCTCTAAAATGGTTTCTAGGGTTTGGAGGGGTGAAATGAATGCTAAAGGGACGACATTAGGTTTTTATAGGGCAAGAAAATCGAGCAAAACCCGATATTTTCTGTTCAGAAAAATCGGGTTTCCTTCGTACTGTTCACAGATTTTTGGTGCGACTTCCAGGTCAGTTTTGACCCATTTAGAGGTCGAATTGGAAATTTTTCATGAAATACACTTTTGTAGCCCTAGATGTCTACTATTTCCTGTCAAAATTTCAGATCAATTGGACATCAAAATATAAAGTTATGATCAAAATACTAAGCAGTGTCCATCACCCCTTTTTACCCAATTTCACTCCAATTTGGTTTTACTTCTAAAATACTTCCTAACTTCTAATACATCTCATATTACCTCTCCCAATGTTTTCTGACCTCCCGAATTCAATGGTAATCTTATTTTGATAAAAAAATTAATATATTTATTTAGTTACCCTTATCACTCAAAAAAAAAAAAAATTAAGTTTGACCCAAAAGTCAATCCGTTCGAAACTCAAACTTCATTTGGACACCCATTGCCGCTGTCCCCACCCCACCACCAAAACCATTCCAGGAGTCAGGGAGACAGTCATTGAATACTGGCAATGAGGGTTACAAATAGAATAACATTGGTGACATGCAAGAGGCTTCTTACTCATGCACCCAAACATCGTTCACACCAATGCAGCTAAGAAGAGATTCTAAACGGAGGCCAAGCAAATATGTGATTTCACCGTATGAACAGCCAAAGGTATAACATACATCAAACTTACTGTATTAATTACATTATACATTATCCTCAGTTATATTTTACTCCCTTCAACTACAACATTGTTGGGCGAAGAAGGATGATAACAAAGAAGGCAAGCGGGAGATGAAAAATCCCCCAAATCGCATTCAACCAAGGGACGATTCCATGCATAAACATTTAATGCATAAGGTTATCACAACATTTATTATTATCCAAATTTTTTTACATGTGTATGTTCAATTTCTCCTTACACAAGGCGGTTACAACATGAATTGTTATGACAATTAGGCATCGATCGATGTGTACAAGACTTCACACAATCTTGCTAACAAATGAAATTGTCTTGTAATAGTGCATCAATTGCTGAAATTCATAAGGTTTGATTTTTGCCATTGTTGATTATATGACAAACTTGAATGGTAGTTTAATGTCACAGGTTGGGTAAACAGATTTCAAATTCTACTTCGGGTATTCTACAGCACGTTGAGGAATATGAAAATATAGAAATACTTTATCCTGAAGATAAGCAATTGATTCTGAATTACAGATTTGACAAGAAGCTTGACATGAGGTAGTGTTATTTTAAATGTAACCATTGACACATTTTAAAATATGTATTAATATGTGATTGAAAATATTTGTATGCTTATTTTTTGTGTGTAATAATTAAATTTAATTTTTTTTTAAAAAAATAGAGAGATTTTAATTGGGTTTGAACATGACCATTCTGGATGCCATTCCCTCATGACACTATTACCTAAGCAATGGTTAATTGATTCGGTTGATTAATTTGAGATTTTTTTTTTAGTTTTTTTTATCCATATGTCGTTACCAAAACTTATACCAATTGCATTTTACTTTGGTATTTTCCTATGACAATAACAGGTTGTGAACTTAGCTCACAATTTGTTATCTAATGAAGATAAGACAAATCCAATAACCGGGTTAGAGAGGTGGTACCTACCCACATGGTTCTCGGTAATAAAATTTTGTTTATTTGTAGTAACTAATTTATTTTTAAACAAAATTACATAATTTTTTTGATTTTAATTTAGTTTGTTGTATTCAGCAACAGGCATTGTCTCGGGTTGTGGCTAACAGTGAAAGTAAAAAATGTTTGCTTCAATCTATGTGTGCTCTGAATGGGAAGTACCTAAAAGATTTTACATACTGTGACAAGGTGAGGATTAACCATATAGTTAATCCATTTTGATTTCAAAGACCTAACACTAGTTAAATTGATCCACGCTTATCAACAATGTTTGCTTGTGTAAACAATTTTAGTGTACCCATACCCATTGCATTCATGGGGTACATAAAACTGTCGTTCTGCTGAAATTCAACCTCACTATGCTTCAAAATTTTGGAAATTAATATTGGAAATGGAAGACATGACCTACAATCCTCGATACTAGATGCTTCGCGAACATGGTTGAATATGTAAAGGGGTAGATCAATAATAACCCCACGTTCAGCAATTATAATAGTTGTGTCGTGTCGTATCCAATCTTAGCAGTATGCCCCCTCGGATATATATTACAGGCAACAATTTGGTTTATCATCCTATACGTTGGAGTAAGGTCAATGTGAGCAATTTTGCTATTTTCATTCTCTCAAGGGACACTCCCAATACAAATACGTCGAATAACCCTCGCCATTTTGGGAGCCTGCTCCTTACTTGAATATGAAAAGATAATGGAATTCTCAGGAATGTTTGGTCTATCAATTTTTAATATATTTGAAATAAGATCAGGCGAAACAGTGATGGATTTCTTCTTAACCATTGTCTTAAATGTTAGCTCATTCTCCTTGTAGTCATGAACATTTACATAAAAATACTTAACCAGTTCAACATATGTTTTATCTTCCATATTCACATCAAACAGAGGTTCCCATTTCTGAGCCCTAAACATTTCAGGGCAATCCACACTGCCTACTAACTCATCAAGGTAAACACCACGCTCAATTAACAGAGGATGTTTAACAATAAATGTATCATACCTCTTATTAGCATCTTTATCCACAAAGAGTTTGGCATTGCCAGAACTTCCCCCGACAACCACTTTCTTCCGTTTCTTCGTCTCGCCGCCTGACATCAACAAAGCTCCAATGTGTGACTTTCACTCTTCTCTGAATGAAGATTCACGATGGAAAGTAGTTTGTGTAACCGATCGATCGATGAAAGAGCTTTGGGGCGGTGGGCGATTTAGGGTTTATGGAATTGGAAATTTTGAATGGGTCTTGTTGGATATTTAATGGGTTTTGTCAGATTTGGAATGAATTTTGAATGGGTTTTGTCGGATTTGGAATGGATTTTGGGGTAATTTTGTGGGATTTGGGGATTTATTTGGGTATCATCCGATGTTTATTTACTACAATGCCTCCCTTACAACATTTCAATTTATAACTCTTTGTGGGCATTTAAGTAAATACATCATACCTGATCTATCAGATTTAGTTTCGATCGATCACAATCCCACTGCCCCTTCAACTTCACCATGTGTAACTCCATGATCGATCAGATGTCCCCGATATTTATGATCTACAATAATATGATTGATCACTATAAAATTTTGATCGATTGACTTAACTTACTACTTACTTATCTATCAGTAGGTTTACACGATCGATCAAATCTCCCCAGTATTTTTTTTACTTCTGATTCACATTAAAAATCTGCAACAATTCGATCAATCAAAATTATCGTTTCGATTGATCCTTTCTCTCCAGTGCTTTTATTACTTCTGATTCAATTCTCAATTATGCAACAATATGATCGATCAATATGTATTTTTTGATCAATCAAATATACTTATTACTTAATGATCTATCATATTTTTACAAGATCGATCAAATCCACACAGTACTTTTATTACTTCTGATTCAAACTACAGACCTGTCTCAATATGATCGATCATCATATACGTTTGATCGATCAAATTCAATACTTTTCTTTTTTCCTTTTTCACTTTACCTTACCACATCTGATCGATCATATATTTATTCGATCAATCAATATTTAATGATCGATCATATATTATACTGATCAATCCATTACATTGACTACAAGTATTTTATCTTCGTAAATTTATCCACTACGATTGTAAATATATATTTAGTTTTGTACCTATCCCAATTAATTTTGTACATTTCTTACTAATATAGTACATACTCCATTGCCTTTGTAGTTTGTTCCACTAATTTTCAAAATTTCTCACTCTTGTTTTAATTATACCATTCATTTTGTAATTTTCCCATTAATATTGTTAATCTCACAATAATTTTGTAAAAACACCTTATTGAGCCAAATAAGATCGATCATTCATATTCGTGATCGGTCAAGTTATATATATATATATATATATTTTTTTTTTTCCCCAAAATTTCCTTTTTCTTACACCACTCCGTACCACATATTGATCGATCATATGTTTGTTCGATTGATCAATATATAATGATCGATCATATGTTATATTGATCGATCTATTACATTAACTACAACTATAATATCCTCGTAAATTTATCGACAATGCTTGTAAATAAATCTTTACAATTGCACTTGATGTGGGTGAAATTTTGAGCATAGGCCGCCATGATTACAGGCCAAAGAATCCCACGGCCGAAAAAGAATATCCTAGATTAGCCCAGCAGTGGAAAACCCAGTGGGGATCAGAAAGACGACGGCTCAGCCCAGGCCCAGTCAAGCGCCATCCTAATGATAGCCCAAGAAAGAAATGGACCATTCCTCCCTAAATAACCCTGCCATGCCACGCGTCCAAGTGACAAAGGGACCATCTCTGAAACATGCGGCAGTTGCGTATTCCCGAACACAGAGGATGGTGGAGCTTAAGGTCATAGAGATCGTGGATATTGGGGCAACGACGGAGAAAGGCTTTTGTAGGACAAGGACAGGAGGTCCCACAGAATCAACGAAAAGGTAGAAGATACCACAAGAAACCCTAGGAAAGAGGACCAATATATAAAGAGCAGTGCCTTACCAGAGAAAAGAGAGACTTCTCCTAGCCAGATAAAAACTCTGTGAACAAACCCCCAGTCCTTGTAAACAGCCCAGAGCATGTAACTCGATTGTATTCAACAGAAACTCAATACACAACAACGAGGAGCAAGAGACTCCATTGATAGTGGACGTAGCCTTAATCTATCGGCTAAGGTGAACCACTTACATTCTTTGCCTAATTGTTCATGATAGATTAATCCATAGTCTACAAAACCTGTTCAGAACATCGCCCTATCATAGTTGGGCTTGGGCCTTAAATTTCGAGCACCATCAGTTGGCACCGTCTGTGGGAAACGTTTTCATCGTTCTTCTGAACTTTTCATCTACTTGATGGTTTCAAGTTGGAACATGAGTAAAGCTCCAGCCAATCCCCAGGTCCAGCAAAATTAGCCAGAAAACTTCCATGTCCCAAAAGTAGACGCCGACGATCATCCTCTAACGGCAAACCTCCTACCACTCAATGAACTAGAAACTTACCATCGAACTACGATACAACTAATGAAGCAGAACCAGGAGTTGATGGAATGAATACAGATACATTAGCTTCCTTGGTTCCCACCAGCTCGACAAGAACCTCCTCCACCCCAAGCCAAACACGACGCCCCTCTTCAGGAGCGCCAAGCTCCCCTAAATGGAATAACAGAACTCCATGAGCACAACCATTCTGGGGACAACCACCGGAGAGGTCGCTTGGAAGTGGGCGGCGAAGACGAGGCCCATAGTAGGGCCAGGGCCATTTATCGAGAAGATAGAGCCCATCCTCTTCAGAATGCCATGTATCCTTTGTTGGAACAAAAACTCCGCGAGTTCCAACGAGAAGTGGGCCACATGAAAGAGGCAGTTTAGGGAAGGACCCCCAACACTATGGACGCCTTGGTCCAGCAAATCGAGTCGCCATTTGCCCCCGAGATCCTCCATTTTCCCCTCCCCCAAAAGTTTCGAATGTCGTTGATAGAAGCGTTCGACGGAACCAAGGACCCTGTCGATCACTTGAACTCCTACAAAAACCAGATGGAGCTTCAGGGTTATCAAGACCCAATCTGATGTCGGGCTTTCACCATCACCCTCAAGGGATCGGCAATAGCTTGGTTCAACAGGCTGCAGCCCGCATCAATTTTCTCCTTCAGGGAATTATCTATACAGTTTGTATCCCACTTTATAGGGGCAAGAACGTATAGAAAGTCGTCCTACCATTTATTAAGTGTCAAACAGGGACCCACTGATCCCTTCGGAGCTATGTTCAACGCTTCAACCAAGAATGTCTGAAAGTGGAAAGCGTGGATGACAAATTTGCGTTGACCACCTTCATGTCTAGGCTCGTGATTCAATCCAAGGATCTCCTCTTTTTGATAGCAAAGAACCCTCAGGCAACCATGACCAAGGTGTTGGTAAAAGTCGAGAAATATATCAATGGCGAAGAGGCCCTCAACTTGAAAGGGGGCTCGATGTCAGTAGAAGGTGACAAAAAGAAGAGGGACCGTAGTCCCAAAAAAGAAAGAAAGTTTGAGCGATCCCCGGGAAGGGATTGGTCTCCAAGGAGGGGAAGAGAATCTCCACCCAAGAGGAAAGGCAACGTCTGGGACTGCCTGGGACCTCCTCCATAGGAGCTGCAACCCCGATTTATCCTAGCGCAGCTACCGCCATTGGTCACGTCCATTGCACAGGTCCTCCACGAAGTTCAGAACGAAAAGTTCATACAGTGGCCGCCTAGAATGAAATCAGACCCGAAAAAGATAGACGCCTCCATATACTGTGAATACCACAAGGACACAGGCCATAAAACTAATGATTGTATCCAGCTTAAGAAGGAGATTGAGTTCCTAATCCAGAGGGGACACCTACGCCACTACGTGGCAGATGAAGGAAGAGCCTAGAACGACCATGGATGGGGGCCAGAGCGGTTGGTGAGCCCCCCCAACAACACCAACAAGCGCATGGTGAGATTTGCGTAATCTTGGGTGGGTTTGCCGGAGGGGCGAATCCAGCTCAGCACGAAGAACACATGATCGGAAGGCACATTCAGAAGATCACCTTGAAGTCCACGTCGTACGAAAAGGTACCACGCCGAGAAATGGAGATCACTTTCTCAGATGCGAACCTCGGAGAATGCCAACACCCACATGATATTCCCCTGGTTATAAAGGCGATCGTCGCCAACAAAATCGAACACAGGGTGCTCGTCGACAATGGAAGCTCTACGGATATCATCTTCTTATCGGTTTTTGACCAACTGGGCATAGAAAGGTCAAAACTCGAACCCATGAAATCCCACCTACTAGGTTTCTCGGGCGAGAAAGTCTTTCCAGTTGGGTCCATCCAGCTCATCCTCACCATCGGGGAACAGCCCTGTAAGGCTACAACCACTGTTCGATTCCTGGTAGTAAACGCTCTATCCGCTTACAACATTCTGTTGGGAAGGCCATCCCTTAACTCCATCAAAGCAGTACCTTCGGCATATCATTTGGTGATGAAGTTTTTCATAGAGAATGGGGTCGACATGGTCAGGGGGAACCAACGCCTGACCAGAGAATGCTATGTTGCGTCAATGAAACAAAGGGAGGTGGAATCGGTCCAGCTAGAGGACCTAGATATGAGAGACGAATTAGACACCCGACCTACCCTTACGAAGCAGTTGGAGCCCATACATTTGGACGAAGATCCAGGGCACATGGTCTTCATAGGTTCATTGTTGCTCCCGCCGATTAAGGAGAAGCTCATCTCGTTCCTAAAGAAAAATGTTGATGCTTTCACCTGGAAACAAGAGGATATGGAGGGAATAGACCCCCGCAGTGATCATACACCGGTTGAGTGTTGATCCGAGCTGCAAACCCATCAAACAGAAAAGAAGAAGCTTCACACCAGAAAGACAAAAAGCTATTAACGAGGAGGTGGCGAAACTACTGCGGGCCAAAGCCGTCAAGGAAGTTGTTTACCCGACTTGGCTAGCCAACGTCGTGCTCGTAAGAAAGGTAAACAGCAAATGACGACTCTATATCGACTTTACCGACCAGAATCGGGCGTACCCCAAGGACAGTTTCCCTTTACCTCGAATAGATCTGATCGTCGACGCCACCATCA